GTTCAGACATAATTCACGTGCTATGTGTTATGTGTTTTATGTTCCGGGCTGCGGCCCGATGCAGTATGCAGTATGTTTGTTATGATATGCTATGCTATGCTCAGTCAATTTCGGGCTTCGGTCCGATGCAGGGGACACGGTCCCAGTCAGTTCCGGACTTCGGTCCGATGCAGTCAGTTCCGGACTTCGGTCCGATGCAGTCAGTTCCGGACTTCGGTCCGATGCAGTCAGTTCCGGACTTCGGTCCGATGCAGCCAGTTCCGGACTTCGGTCCGATGCAGTTAGTTCCGGACTTTGGTCCGATGCAGGGGACAAGGTCCCAGTCAGTTCCGGACTTCGGTCCGATGCAGTTTCCGGGCCCCGGCCCAATGCAGTGGGCAAGGCCCAATAGGTGTTTATATGTTGTTGTATGGTATGTGGTAAGTTGGGGGAGCTCACTAAGCTTCGTGCTTACAGTTTCAGTTTTGGTTTCAGGTACTTCCGCAAGCAAAAGGGAAGAGCTCCGGGTGACGGCATCGCACACACCACCGTTTCAGCTTTAGTCTGGATTTGATTTAGTTGTTGTTTTTGATATAGTATGTTACAGTTTCCGCACAGTACTTTATTATATTTTGGGGCATATCACGCATGGTTTATTTATATGATACTCTGATTATAGTTTTGATGGTATTAAAAACGAAATTTTTGGGTCGTATTTTTGGGTTGTTTCAAAGCATAAACAAACCGGTCTTTTCTGGCCGTGATTTTGGGGATGTCACAGACAGACAAAAGAGCTATACCGATAAACGACGAAAACCTTTGGAGTTCCAGGTTGGAGATCGGGTTTTGCTGAAGATCTCACCCTGGAAGGGCATTATATGCTTTGGAAAGCATGGAAAGCTAAATCCAAGATACATAGGACCGTTCGAAATCCTCGCTAGGATCGGTCTCGTAGCATACAAACTTCGTTTACCACAAGAGCTTAGCAACGTCCATCTCGTCTTCCATGTCTCAAATCTAAAAAAGTATCTATCTGACGAGACCCTTATGATCCCTCTCGATGAGATTGAAATCAATGAGAACCTTAACTTCATATAAGAACCAATCGAAATCATGGACTGAGAGATCAAGCGAACGAAACAAAGTCGAATCCCGATAGTGAAGGTTAGCTGGAATGCCAAGTGGGGACCTGAATTCACTTGGGAGCGCGAAGATCAAATGAAATAGAAATATTTGCATCTCTTTCCAAATCCATGATTTGTATTCTATGTTCGAATTTCGGGACGTAATTCCCTCTAACGGGGGGATGATGTGCCAACCCGAAATTTCTGCTACTCGAACCGTTAAAAATAAATCAATTCGGAATTTATTTCTGCTCTTGTTAGCATTATTTTGGGTCTAATTAAATATACTAAGCTCATTACAATCAAGTTTTGGGTCCAAGAACACGTTTTTCTAAGTCAAAGCATCGCATCCGGGATAAACACCCCTTCGAGAGGAGTGTACGACCACAAACTCGAGTTTACGGCCGTACACCCCGACCCCACCCCTTGGCCGAAAACTCCACCCTATATATAGAGTACTTGGCTTTCATTTCACACTTTACACTCTCCAAAGACTTTCTCTCTCTACTCTCTCTCTACCTTCATCGAGTTTTCCTCCAAGATCTTCAAATTGTAAGTGTTTTCACCTCTATTTGTTACTTCATTCCTCTATCTAATGGTGAATCCATGTTCCTATCTCACTAATCTCATATTTATTTAGATCTTCATTTCTCACCAAGAACGCCAAGAACACACACTAGTTCTTGGTGGCTAAAAACCTCATTCTAAGCTTCCTAATAGTAAGTAACTACTTACTATGTTTGATATCTAATAGAAACCTTTGATTTTCACCTAGAAATCGACCCAAAAAGCATGAACATGGAGGGTTTACGGCCGTACACACCTCATGGACCGTAAACCCTAGTATTTGGTCAAATATTGACCTTAATCACTCATTTTAGCCATACACGGGACTTAGAACACTTCTGGGAGGCTAGAAAGGGCCTTGAACCACTACAAATCACACTTTTCATTGAGTGTTTACGGCCGCAAACTCATGGATGGTATACCCATTGGGCCGTAAATCCATAGACCGCAAGCACTTGGGCCGCAAACTCTTAGGCCGAAAACCCCATTAGGCCGCAAACCCATGACCGTACACCCTTTGTTGTGACCGCAAAGTCCCCTCCTTCAATCACATGTGATTCTAACACTTAGTTCCAAGTGTTTCCTAGTCCTTACGGTGGTTTCCTTCCATAACAAACAGTGTTATGCTCTCATCTAATACATATATGTACTTCTATATGTTGATTAGGATCCGTTTGAGTCTGAGGCTTCATTTAACACTCAAAAATTCCTATCGACTTACACTCGAATCCCACGTCAAACAGTGAGTTCATACCCCTACACTTTTATGATTTTAAATGTTTTCAGGGGGAATACAAGCCAAACACAACGTTTTCAACAAGTCAAACTTATGCAATTTATACAAATCAATGATTTTTATATAACATTTAGATACTTAAACCCTTTTGTAGTAGGCGGAGCATAAGAAACGTTTTCTAAATTTAATTGCATAGTTTTCCGAACATTTTACGAACATAACTTTTCAGTCAAACTATAAAGGGTAAAGTTTGGGGATTTCATTACCAGTCTTACAAATGCAAACTACTTACACGGTTGAATATATAAACTATGACAGACTTAGTTTATAACATATGTTACTATGAGAGTACAACAGTAAATAATTATTTTTGTATAATTATTTTTACTCTACAAAACATACATCGGATTCACATACGAAAGAACAGTACGCTTACATATTATTACACGCAAAGTTGTTAACTTAATTAAGAGACACGTCCTTGGGCGCTAACAACATTAACTAAGTGAATGACTACCCTTATGAACCAAAATTTCCTGGAGGGAAAGTGTGGTTTTTTTGTATAGATTTATACGGGACTGATTATCCCGCATCTGGCTACTAGCTACATTCGGACAAAGACATACAGAAAAACTAAAAGACCATAAGTTCATATATGATCTATAGATATCTTTTTATTATATTATATCTCTACGCAACACACCTGCGTACACCTAAATTTTACATAAATCATACCATATGTATTTGTTAAGAAAATGGATGCCTCCAAAATGTTAATGATAAGTTTTGTATGAATGTTAATTTTATTCATAGAAAAACTATTTTTTAAACAAAAGAATGTCTTCTGAAGATCACATTGATGATTTATAAAAGAAATCCAAAATAAATAGATTAAGTTGGTGTCTATTATTTGTAATTTTTATTTTTATTAATTTTATATTTATTATTTTTATTTAATAAATTAAATATTTAAAATTTAAAATTAGTATTTGTGTTACCAATAGGAAATGATTGAAAGATAAAAGATAAATATAATATTCATTAGAAAATAAGTGATAAAAATAATATAACACTTCCATTGTAATAAATAAAAGATAAAGTATTGTTAAAAGAAAAATAAAAATAAAAATAAAGGATTATTATAACATGGATAATCTTATCATTTACAAAGTTAACTCATAATCTTATCATTTACAAAGTTAACTCATATGTTGTCAAATCTTTGGTAACAATGAAATAGAAATGACAACCCCTTTCTTTTGGATGTAACTAGGGGTGTAAACGAGCCGAGCCGAGCCCGAACCTGACAAAGTTCGAGCTCGGCTCGTTTAATTTGAGGAAGCTCGAGCTCGATTCGAGCCTTAAAATGAAGCTCGAGCTCGGCTCATGAATAATTTAGTGGGCTCGCGAGCCTAATCGAGCCTAAACGAGCCTCTATGTGTGTGTGTGTGTATGTATGTATGTATGTATGTGTGTGTGTGTGTGTGTATATATATATATATATATATATATATATATATATATATATATAGGCTCGTTTAAGCTTGTTTAGGCTCGCGAGCCCATTAATTGAAGCTCGGCTCGAGCTCATTTAATAAACGAGCCTCATATTTAGGCTCGAGCTCGGCTCGGGCTCGTTTAATTCGATCTCGAGTCGAGCTTTTAACGAGTCGATCCCGAGTAGCTCGGCTCACTTACACCCCTAGATGTAACCGTACAAAGCTAAGTAAAAGAAGTTAAAATATTATAATAATAATAATAATAATAATAATAATAATAATAATAATAATAATAATAATAATAAATAAAATTAAAAAAAAAATAAAAAAATAAAAAAAAAAAAAACTCATGTGAAAGTAAATAAAATGTGTCTTTGGAAGAGAGAAAGCTAGACATACTATTTTTTTTCTAATATTTTAGATATAAAAATAATTTTTTTTTAGTTTCCTTTGATATGTAACTTAAAATAAATTGTTTTTTTTAATGCATTTAACTAACTTAGAAATAAAAGTTAGAACAATACAGGGGTATCCCTTCTTGTAGACTTGAAAGTTGGGGTTTCACAGCGAGACAAACTATATTAAAAAACTGCTACATGCAAGGTCACCAAACATGAGAAATCGTGCATGGAAAATCAACACATATTCATACTATTTGCATTTGATACGTTTGGTTTCTTTGTAACGGATGCGGTGAACCTTCTTAGTAGAGTACAACGGATCATACATATCAATGTTCTATCCCCTAGATCTATGAATATAGTCTTCAAAAGAATTGACTTTCCATACAAAAAGACTTAACAATGCAACTTGTTACCCGTTTACATTCTCATTCGTTGTACGATGATAATTAAGACGTATTAATTTACTTAAAAATTAACGTAAAAAAAAAAAAGCAAAAGAGTTTTTCCAATTAGCAATTAAACAATTTAAAAATCAAATTCAATTAGATATAGTATTAGATGTTAATTAATTAATTATATTCAAGTTATTGGCATATTGGTTCTAACTTCTAAGAATCATTGTTTGAATCGATTGATTTTGTTTAGAAAGAGAGATGTTGATAAGTTGTTAGGTTGCTTGGTGAGATGGATAATAGAATACCCCAAAAAACGCGTTTGAAAGACACATTTATTATTGTAGTCAAAGTCCAACCCATACCCCACACACTAAATTCAAACCAACGCTGCTTCGAAATCCCTTTTCATTTTGATTTTGATTCCAGTTCTTTTTAGAAATCAAAACAAAACAAAGCATCCTTACCTACTATACAATGCAAACAGCTCGTCAAATCTAATCTCTCTACACTCTCCCCTTCTTCACCTCACCTAATCCATCATCATCATCGAATTCTCCATCTCTTCCTTCAATGAAAGATCATTATTCTTCCATGGACGAAGACCCATCATCCAAAAACGACGCTTTGACCACTACTCTAAAGAATTCAATCCAAGCACTTGGTAGAGGCTTCGATGTCACCTCCGACATCAGACTTTTGTACTGCAAAGGCGCACCTGGGTCTCGTTTGATTTACTTGGATGATCAAAATACCAAGGAACTTGTTTTCTCAGATGATGGTTTTGTCTCGATTCCTAATGTTCCTGTAGATGTTGAATTTTCTAAAGGCGAAAGGACCACTGAAGCCACACCTGTTTGCAGCTTCTATGAGGTAGAATAATTAATTCTTGAAATTGGGATAATACCTTTACTTCTTCTGAATAAGTAATCGTCAGGGTCTACTATGGTTTATTGAAATATGCTATGGTTTCTGAACTGTTAAAGATGTTTTTATCAATCGAGATGTAATTCATGAGCAATTAGTTTGTTTTGTTTTGTTTATAGACCTTGAAGTTCTTGAAATTGAGACATTTCGGTAGACGAATTAGGTATCGGGAACATCAAATGTTGGAGTTTTTTTGTAATCTAGTACTATGAAGTAACAACCATTATGAATGCTAAAACTAGAATCTAAGCAGTATAGTTTCATCCATGTTTGTCATTCCAATATGTTCAAATTACTAGGTGAGATGCTATTTTGCTACAAGTTTTATTGCTAGAAAACTCCTGCTCTCCATCTCATGAACTCTTTTGGATTCTTATCCTCCTTTGAGTAGATTAAGAATTACAACTTTCATTATTCCTATACATCTACATTGATCCGGATTTTGTTTAAACCATTTTAGTTTAACGCTTATTTGATTACGAGAGAAACAAACTAATAAATAAAATCTTTAAGATGGTGGTCTTTATAGCAAAAGAGTTGTCTTTTCTCCTAGAATCTTCCAAATTATATATCAATAAGTTATGCGTTCTACTTCGAAATGGTTTCTCAACCAAATTAATAAATAAAATCTTTAAAAATTTAAAGTAAGAAAATGGCATGTGTTGTGGCATATGCCATGAATCATTTTCTCGTTAGCGAGTTATTTGGGCCACATGATATGCGTTTCCTCTAACTCTGATAATATAAATGCTAAATATTTGTTACTATATTAAGGACTTGATATGATATGCCACACCTTCTACTTGTAACAGAAATGATATCCAACTACATATCTCAAAATGACAAGATCCTTTGTATATATAAATATTTAGTACCTAATTATATATTCATGAATTTGTCACGTATTATTCTTTTGTTTATAGTCATATTCTCATGGTATTAATGAGCTAAACTATGCGATACTAGCAGTTAATATTAGGGCAACATATTGAACAATGTATAGGTAGTATGTTCTAATCTATTGGTTATTTAAATTAGGGCAAAATACAGAAAAATACAACATACTTTGACCATTTTTCTGATTTAGCCACTGCTTTTTTTTAGTGATTATCAATTTGTTATAATTACAGTTTAGTGGCTAAATCGATAAAATGTGAAGGTAGATTGTGCGTTTCTGTATTTTCCCGGGGAAGAATGGTTCTTTTAAATCACTATAAAAGATAGTTTAATGGTTAAATCGTACAAGTGTTTTTCGGTATTTTTCCATTTTAAAGCTTGATATATCTTTTGCATATGCTACTAAAAGAATCAATGATTCATTCCTATTAAAAAAGAAGTTTCTTTAAATGGTAATAATTAGTTTGTGATAAAAGCAGATGGCAAAATACTTCAATATGAAATCGAATCTTGGTGGGGATGTTCCTCTTGGAAGCTTTAATGCCATGTTCAATTTTACTGGATCATGGCAACTTGATGCAGCATCAACTAAATCACTTGCTATGATTGGATACATTGTTCCTTTATTTGAAGTCCGTTTAGAAATTACTGATTTAGTTTTGCTTCAACAAGTCAAACGTGCTGTTCCTTATTCATGGGATCCTGCATCTTTAGCTAGGTAAAAGATTCCTCCTTTTCCTATTTACCACATATTGCAAGAAATAGCAACTTACTTTAATCTTTTTATCAATATATGCATTGACTATATATATATATATATATATATATATATATATATATATATATATATATATATATATATATATATATATATATATGTTACTCATAATAACAATTTATAATTTCTTTTATTTGCCCATTGTAGTAACGTACGTACATTTTTTATAACAACTTAGTTACAATTTTGGGTTAATCTCATAAAAAACCTTATATTTTGTGTTTTTCAGGATTAAACCTCAACTTTATTTTTTTATTTTTTCTGAAAAAGACGTTTCATTTTTTCCAATCTGGCCCTTTTAGTCATTTTTTCCGGGTTAATCTAAAGAAAAATCCTTATATTTTGTGTTATTTTCGGATTAAACCTCAAATTTATTTTTTGCCTGAAAACACCTTGTATTTTTTCATTTTTCCGAAAAATCCCTCAACTTTGTATTTTTTTTTTTTTTTCCAAAAAAACTCCCTCAACCTTCTAAATGAACCCTCAACCTTTTTAGTTTTTCTCGAAAAAACCCTCACATTTTACAATTTTTTTTTTGGAAAAAAATGACTAAAATGGCCAGATTGGAAAAAATGAAAAAAAAAAATACTAGGTCTTTTTCAAGCAAAAAATAAATTTGACGTATAAGACGGAAAAAACACAAAATATAAGGTCTTTTTTTGAGATTAACCTTTTTCTTTCCGAAAAAAGTTGTAAAATGTGAGTTTTTAAAATTTTCGGGAAAAACTAAAAAAGTTAAGGATTTATTCAGTAGCAATTAGAAGGTTGAGGGTTTTTTTGGAAAACACCAAAAATACAAGGTCTTTTAATTTGTACTCATAATAGGAATGTACTTACATCTCTTTATTGATAATACCAATATATAACAAATAAAGTACATAGTGAAATATAAGTACCTTGCTATTATGGGTAATAAATATATAATTTTGTTGCTATTAAAAAATAAAGTATATACGTACTAGTATTATCAGTAAAGAAATATAAGTATGTTGCTTTTATGGGTAAAGTATGTTACTCTTCCTCTCAATTTTCTCTTTCTATTTCCTTTTTTAGCTAACAATATATGTGATATAGTATCTTTTTAAAAGAGCTAATGTCATCAATTATCTAACCATAAAATATTGAATATTTTTCAGCTTTATTGAAAATTATGGCACACATATTGTGACCTCTGCAACAGTTGGGGGGAGAGATGTAGTTTATATAAAGCAACATCAATCATCTCCTTTGTCATTATCAGACATTGATAATTATGTGAAAGACATTGGAGACCACAGATTCTTTGATTTAAAAGGCCAATCCAGTTCTGGACCCTTAAAGTACAAGGACAAGGTTACTTTACCTTTCTTCCTCAACCCCATCATAATAATTACATTATATTTACATTTTTGGTCCCTGAGTATAGCTGGTATTTTCCATTTTGGTCTCAAAAAGTTTTCTCTTGCAGTTTCAGGTCCTTATTTGGGTTTTTGTAACATTTTTGGTCCCTGAGTATAGCTGATATTTTCAATTTTGGTCCCAACAAGTTTTCTCTTGCAGTTTCAGGTCCTTATTTGGGTTTTTGTAACATTTTTGGTCCCTGAGTATAGCTGATATTTTCAATTTTGGTCCCAACAAGTTTTCTCTTGCAGTTTCAGGTCCTTATTTGGGTTTTTGTAACATTTTTGGTCCCTGAGTATAGCTGATATTTTCAATTTTGGTCCCAAAAAGTTTTCTCTTGCAGTTTCAGGTCCTTATTTGGGTTTTTTGTAAAATTTTTGGTCCCTGAGTATTGCTGATATTTTCTATTTTGTTCCCAAAAAGTTTTCTCTTGCAGTTTGCTCCTTATTTGGTTTTTGTAACATTTTTGGTCCCTTTTTCAAGTAAAATGACTATATTTTTGGGTCAAAATTGCAAAAGTTTAATCAGCTATGCTCAAGTACTGGAAATAGTCATATTACTTTGAATAAGAACCTCAAATAAGGACCAAATTTGCAAGAGAAAACCTTTTGGGACCAAAATTGCAAAAATCAACTATTCTCTAGGACCCAAAAGTAACATACTCTAATAACTATCATATATATATTTGAGCAAAATACACTAATACAGAACAGCACTTGTACTTTTATATTAATATCAATTTAACTTAATTATTTTCCTAGAGTGATTAAACTAAACCATTAAACTTTCTGTTAACGTGTTTTTAAAGAAAAGCTAAATACAACATATTTTCACCACTTTATCAATTTAGCCACTAAAATGTTCATTTTGTATGCTTATTGTAATAATAGTTCAATGGCTAACAGGCTAAATCAATAAAACTTAATATCACCAACTGGGTATTGGAAAATTTAAAAAAAAAAAAATAAATACTCCCTATAATAGTTCAATCATTACAGAAAACAGTAAAATGACTCGATTAAATGAGGAAAATACAAGTGATTTTTGTATTTTGCTGTAAATTTTCAAAAATTTTAAATGACATGAGATGAGGTTGATTTACATTTACCATATCTATAACTGCAGGACGTAACGGTAATTTTTAGAAGAAGAGGAGGTGATGATCTTGAACAGAGTCATGCAAAATGGGCAGAGACTGTAGAAACAGCACCAGATGTTATAAATATGACTTTTACTCCCATTGTTTCTTTGCTTCATGGAGTTCCTGGAATAAAGTATTTGACACGTGCCATTGACTTATACTTGGAATGTAAGACCACCTTATCTCATTTTTTTTACTTGCTTAAGTATTATATATATAAGTACTATTGTTTTTTTTTTTTTCAGACAAACCACCTATAGAGGATTTACAATACTTTCTAGAGTTCCAAATTCCTCGTGTGTGGGCCCCTGAACAGAGTAACATTCAAAGAAAGGAGCCAGTTTGTCCCTCACTTCAGTTTAGTTTAATGGGGACCAAAGCTTTACATTAGTCTCGAGCAGGTATTCTTCAAAATTATATCTTCTCATTTAATAAGTGATTATTTCATGTATTTAGATTTTAGCTGTCGATTTTTTCCCCTTTATTCATTCGTTCATCACAATCATGTTTACAGGTAACCATTGGACGCAAACCCGTAACAGGACTCCGACTAAGTTTAGAAGGAAACAAACAAAACCGATTAGCAATCCACATACAACACTTAGTCTCCCTCCCCAAAATCCTCCAACCACATTGGGACACACACATGGCTATCGGTGCACCCAAATGGCAAGGACCCGAAGAGCAAGATAGCCGATGGTTCGAGCCCATCAAGTGGAAAAACTTCTCTCACGTAAGCACCGCACCCATCGAACACACCGAGACCTACATCGGGGATCTTTCCGGGGTCCACATAGTCACCGGTGCCCAATTTGGCGTATGGGATTTCGGTGCTAGAAGTGTTTTACATCTTAAACTTCTTTTTTCTAAAGTACCCGGGTGCACCATTAGGCGATCCGTGTGGGACCATAGCCCGGCTAACCTTCAGAGACTTGGAGAAGATAAGGGAGACAGTTCGAGCCAGTCTGGGAAATTGGCTAAAATTGTGGATATGACGGAGATGTCCAAGGGCCCACAAGATGTTCCGGGACATTGGTTGGTTACGGGGGCTAAACTTGGAGTAGATAAAGGGAGGATCGTTTTACGGATAAAATATTCGTTGTTGAATTATTAATGATATTTACAGTGTGGGCCATGGGTCAGAGGCAGAGTCAGAGTCAGCTCATGGGTTGCTGGAAGAATAACCCTTTTGCAGGAATATGGTGGTTATAAGCATTTTTTATTTTTATTTTGCACAGGCGATCGTTCTTTTGTGTTGTTTTAGTGCATTTTGTGAAAGTAGGAGGGAAATATTTTGTTGTTTCATGTTAAAAGATTTGTTTGTAGTTTCATACATGTATATGCTTTACACCAAAGTAGGAGTCTTCGGGGTTGTTAAATTTCAGATTTGGAGTAACTTTTCGAATTATGAGGCGATGTTTGACTGTTTGTATATTGATTTTTTTGTTTATATTTTAATTGCAAGTCAAAGTTTATATATGAATGGGACGGGTTAATTTAATGGATTTACTTGAGATAATATTTTCGAAGTTTATATTTTTAATTTGATAGGACTTAAGTGAGACAAGATTCAATTCGGTAAACTATATATGTGGTTTTTGTACATAACTTTAAAAAAAACGACTAATATAGAAAAATCACTGAAAATAGGTTTTTCTTATATGTTCAATCGTTCTTCTTGTGCTAAATATGAGTGAAATATGTTTGTGGAATGATTGAAACAAAAAATATGGCCAGTATGTTGATGGCATATAAACTATAAAGTATAGAGCAAAACTGAGAAAAAAAAAAAGATAAAAAAAATAAATAAATAAAAAATAAAATGAAACTGGAATGAAAGTTGAGTTTCTTAAAACCATACGCCCATACTATACTGGACGCAAACTCAATTTTACTTTTTCACTCGTATAAATTTTTGGTCCTTCGACTTATATATGTATGTAGGGATGAGCAAAAGGACCGGGGAACCGGCCGGAACCAGTCCCGGAACCGGCACCCGATGGAACCGGTCGGGCCGGGACCTATACCATAAATTTGTGATTATTTGGAACCGGGATCCGGAAAGAACCGGCTATTGGAACCGGCCCAAAACCGGAAACCGGCCCGGCTAGAAAACCCCATATCACGTTGCTGTCGATTGGACTTCTCCTTGGCAAGCATCTAGTCGCAACTTGCAAGCTGTCACGTAACACAAAAAAAAACGCACTCGGCCACGATCCCAACTCCCCAACTGCCGAACCCTACTCGCTATCATCTTCATCCATTGGCAATCGGCATCTCTTCATTCATCATCATTCAATTGAATCAATTCTTCATCTCCAAGTTTCCATCGATTACAAGTTTCCATCTCCAATTTTAAACCGATCTTCAATTCTTTATCATCCTTCAATTCTTCATTGATTTTCATCTTCAATTGCTTCAATGATTCAAACTATGGATGTCCATGAAGATCAAGTAAGAGCATATATTTATATTTCATGTTTTAAGATTATATATTTCAATATTTGCTTCAATGCTTCAATGATTCTCCAAATAATGGCATGCATGCAAGCTTTTTTTCTTTGCTTTTGTTGTATTCATTCCAAATATATGCATTGTTATCCCTAGTTAATTAAAAGATCTTGATTTTTGATCATACTCTCATAGTGGAGTACTCCTTTACGGATGAAAGGTTGTACATATAATATATGTTTCATGTTTTAAGCTCCATTTAACAATGTACTTTGTAGACATACATGCAAGATTTTTGTTAGATTAGTTTATTGTTTATAGTATGAATGTAATTATGTAAGATTGTCAAAACTACAAATTTGTTTAGTACTTTTGTTATATAATTAATGTGTAAAATTGACAATGTAGGATTTAGATGGGTTACCAAATGAACCATCATCAAGATACCGAAACTCGGATGTTCATGATGCCAATATTGAAGATGGTAATCCGGCTAATTGGATTGGAAAAGACTTTGATGATCAAGTAAGATTAGCATTTAGCTCATTAGCAATATTTACTTTTTTAGTAATCTGTCCAAATTTTGAATTGTTGATAAGTCATTCAATTTAACTTGTTTTGACCTGAATCTTTTTCCTACATGTAGATTAGGATTTGTAGTTGAGTTTAGACTATAAAAACGCTTAATTTGGTTAAAAATTGAATGAGTTACAAGCCCCGCAAGGAAGGGTGTCAAATATGATTTTTTTTTTTTTTTCTAACAGCAATAAAACGTGATCTAATTTTGTTGTTCTTTTTTTGTAGATCCAATGTTTCAGAAAACTGTGGGAAGGGTACCATCACATTCAGATTTTGAGATGATTAAAAAGATGATGGAGTTCATCGAGAAGTTTAAGAAGAAAACTGAAAAAGTTTTGTGTTCAACAAAGCCTATCTTCCATACGTATACCCGGGAGATCCTAGATATAGAGCAACATCTTAGGAAACATGAAACCAACCCGGATTTTATGTTTATGGTACCGGATATGAAAGATAAATATGACAAATATTGGGGTGACTATGATACTATAAGTGATTATGTCTTCTTTGCGACATTGTTAGATCCTCAATGCAAGTCAAAGTTTATGAAAGTTGTTTTTATCCAAATGCTTAAAGCCAAGAACAAAGATAAAAAGATGTCCGCTGATGAGATAGAATCCAAAGCACGTGCAAAAGTTATTGATATCGAATGCAAATTGGACAAGTTTTTCAAGACATACTTGGAAAGGTCAAACATGACCTCATCGTCTCAACAAGAAACTCCCGAAGAAGTTGTTAATTTTGATGACGAAAACGAATTCTTTGGAAGCTATATGACTTCGGGAAGTTTCCCCTCGACTTCGTCAGAAAGTCAATTGCAACGATACTTAAATGAGGACCCAATCGGATTTGACAAAGGATATGATATCCTCACATGGTGGAAAAATAATGCGGTGCGGTTCCCAATCGTTGCTCGAATTGCAAGAGGTATCAACCTTCTTTTACTCTAATTTAAAATTTTAAATTATAAACTTGTGTCGTGTATTATACACTAATTTGTTTATTAATAGATATTTTGGGGATGCAAATTTCCACCGTAGCATCCGAATCCACATTCAGTAATGGTCGTCGAGTAATTACCGACTACCGTACTAATTTGTTCGTTGTGATTGTGGAGGCATTGATATGCACTCAAGATTGGCTAAGAAAGAGTAGCTTGCCTATATATGACTACGACGAAGTGCACGATGTGTTAGTTGACGATGACCTCGCTATCGGTAATACACTAATACTTGTTACATCTTATTTTTAACTTCTTATTAGTATTTGTTACATTTTAGTAAGTAATAACATTTTTCTTTTGTATTATATATAGACATTGTGGATGCTATACACAACTTGAAGCTAACGGGGAAGAGATCGGGGAATTAGTCAAAATGTCAAAGAAATGTTGGAATCCACATATTAGACTTTGTTTTTTTTTTTTTTTTGTTGGTGAAACTTGGAATTAGTCAAAATGTCAACTTGAATGTCGAAAGTGTATTTTGAATGTTGAATGTTTGAATGTTGGATACTTAATAACATAACTTTGACGACATCCATGTTTAATTTGCTTGTAATAACTTAAATAAAAGATTCATGGTTAATTTGCTTGAATGTTGAATCGTTTATTAAAATGTTTATTATTAAAATGTTGATTATTTACTAGTATTTAAACATCCACTTCTTCATAAAAAACCAATAAAACGCAAAGTAAATTAGTCGTTGAATTACTCGAAAAACCGGCAAAAAGCGGACCCGAAAAACCAATAAAACGCAAAGTAATTTAGTCGTTGGATACATCAAAATTTAGCCGGTTCCAAACTCGAAAAACCGGCAAAAACCGGAACCGGTAGAACCGTCGGGCCGGTTCGGTTCTTCATTTTGGCCGAAGCCGGTTCCCCGGTCCGGTTCGGTTCGGGCCGGTTCGGTTCTTTTGCTCATCCCTATATGTATGTCATTCATAAATCTCCACTTGGACATACATTCAAAGTACAAAAAATGCATCTGTAAGTGAAAATGTAAACCTCCTTATCAAACTTGATATCCAAACCATCGATAAGGAATTCATACCCACTATAGCTTTTTCAGTCGTTCTTAAGCCGTTCACACCAAAACAAACTTTTATAGGTTTACCAAACCTTTCGTCGTCTCTAGTATGACAATTGGATGCCATAAAAGCTTTATGTACCCATGATGTAGCAAATGGTTCAAGCTATACACAGAATCACATTGTTGAACATATAGTCGTCCGTTCGATAATAAAAAAAACCTCGATAATCCAAAAAACCACACCGGTTGAGCCCTAGAGTTTCCTTCATCGAGATCACAATGAAGAAACTTCACTTCTCATACTACTAGGGAAAAAGTTTCCGCATAGTCGAACCCATCTTTCTGGGTATAACTCTTATCCACAAGTCAGGTTTTGAACTACGTGGCCAAGGTACCCAATAACTAATAAATTATTCTACCGATACTTTTAAATAATTACATTAATAAAATTTACAATCACTTCCACATTGAAAGGACGCGTGTCTTCAATAATGTCTTAAAGAATAATGGTTTTTACACGTCATTGCTTGCCCTTCCACATTGAAAGGACGCGTGTCTTCAATAATAATGACTTTATACATCATTGTTTGCGTCATTCTTTCCGCCACCGAATGGTTTTATACATCATTGCTTGCGTCATTCCTCACCAAAGAAATATTTAGTAGAATTCATACTATTATAGTAAAAATATAACTAGAAAAGCAATATAAAAAGAACATACATTTCATTTTTATCCATATTCTATATATAGACTATTAAAAATATATGAAATCATATATTTTATATATAAACTATTAAAAATATATGAAATCACGGTTAAATATGACCCGTTAAACTTTCTACTTAGGTAATTTTCACGGTTAAATATTCCCTCCAACCCCCATCACAACGAAATATTTAGTAGAATTTACATTATTATAATAAAAATATAACTAGAAGAGCAATATAAAAAGAACCTACATCTATATTTTATATATAAATTATTAAAAATATATGAAATCCCGAGTAGATATCCTTAAACTTTCTATTTAAGCAATTTTCAAAATCAAAATCAAGATAAAAAATTAAAAATAAGAATTAATACATGTCATTGTTTTATAAGAATATACCAAGAAAAAGCACGGAAGATTTTTAACTATATTTAACTATATTTGTAATTTTTTCTTTTTAGAATAGGCTATTGGCTATTTTCGATAAATCAAATTTAATTAATTTTCGCTTAATTCATTTTCTGATTAACATTAATAAAGTTTTAGACCACGTTCTAATCCTCCTCCCCGATCATTTGAGGCAGCTTTCTCCCTTGAAAGGCGCCTCTCTCCTCTCAAACGAGCCAAACTCATCACCCTCGCAGAACCCTAAACATTAAACCTTACCAAAGTAAAAAAGCTCTAATGGCGGAACACAAACCAGATGTATCATTGAAAGATCAAGGAAATGAGTTTTTCAAGGCTGGAAACTACCTAAAAGCAGCTGCCATATACACTCAAGCCATCAAGAAAGATCCTTCTAACCCTACGCTTTACAGGTAACGATTCTGTCTACTCATCTGATCTCTGCTACATACTGCGAGCTTGAATCTGATAGCTCCTTTCATTGTTTTTGCTTGTTTTCTTCTTGATAGATAGGTTTTAAAAATTACATAGTGACTTCGATTTGTTATTTAGTGTTCGACTTTGTATCATGAAATGGTCGACTAGGAGATGAAATACACGAGTTGATTTTACATTGTTGTTTAGCTAATTTAGACTACTTCAATACCTTCAGTAAAAACATTCCTTCAAAGTGTATAACTACCAATTTGTTTGCATTTATCATCGATTCGTTAAAATGTGTTGTAAATAAGCTCCAATTGTTATTCCATGAAACCAAATTCTACATGTTTTAAGCAGAAACGTTAAACTTATTGATCAATTATCATCTGGAAGGATTTGATGATGCTCATTGCATTTTTATAAACATGCTTATGGTCTTCTGTTCCCTTGATGTGGGGTTTCATGCCATTTCTGCTGATTTGTTTAAAACTTCTTTCCAGCAATCGTGCTGCAGCATTTCTAAATCTTGTTAAGCTTCAGAAAGCACTCACGGATGCTGAAACAACAATATCTTTGAATCCTAGCTGGGAAAAGGTATTAATATGACCTATAAATTGTATGCAGACATTAATTTCTCTCCAATGTTTGTCTGATGTAAGTATCCTTGTTTCTTGTTCAGGGTTACTTCAGGAAAGGATGTGTATTAGAGGCCATGGAACGATACGATGATGTATGCTTACATTCTTTTCTACTATATTCCGTATAATTGTTATGTACAATATGAAGCCAAGGTTATCAAGGGTTAAATGCAAGAGACAACAACATATATCTTTTTATTTTGTTTGTTATAACAGTCATATATATTCATAATATCTTCTATAGCATTCCACTTAAAAAATCTACTAATTTTTAGCAATATCATTCAAATACAAAGCAATGTTCATTGCTATAATTGAGTAATTTTCCCATAAGTGCAATACTAAAATGAAAGTATGTTGCTATTTCTTGCATTTAGCCCATATATAAGTATTAATATGTGTGTGTGTGTAATGCAGGCATTGGAAGCCTTTAGGATAGCTTCACAACACAACCCACAAAGTACAGAGGTGTCAAGAAAGATCAAGAGATTGACACAGTTATCAAAAGATAAAAAACGATCAGAAGAAGTGGACAATATGAGATCAAATGTTGATTTGGCAAAGCACTTGGATAGTTTCAAGTCTGAATTGGTAATTTTATTTCTTACTCAATAGTCCTGTTTTTTTGTTTGAGTTTATGATGATTCTTTGTTCATGAAACTAAAACACTTGTTTTGAATATTAATCTTTCTTTAGTTAGCAATTGTTCTTTCCCTAAAATGTTGCTTTATTTTATCTTAAGCATTGTAAAAAAATGGGGTTTTCTTGAATGTGAATATTATGGTTGTTTGTCTTGTTTCTAAATGAGAATGTTATTTGTTTCAGGCACAAAAGTATGTAGTTGAGGAATCTTGGAAAGATATATTCTCTTTTGTTGTTGAAACAATGGAGAATGCTGTAAAGTCATGGCATCAAACATCTAATGTTGATGCTAGAGTTTATTTCCTTCTTGATAAAGAAAAAACAGACACTGAAAAATATGCACCTGTTGTCAACATTGACAAGGTACTTTTCTTATTCATTTAATTTAATGATAATGTGCTTTTTGTATGTGGTAGAGGTGGTAAAATGGGTTGGGTAATGGGTCAAATGTCAAAACGGGTCATCTTTAAAGATGGGTGAAATAGGTTGGGTTGGGTTGATCCACCAACATTTTGTGTCTATTTTTTGAATTATATAATGTAATTTATGTATCAAAAAATGATTACAAACAAACACTATAGTATTATTATTAAAATGATAGTTTAGTTATATAAATAAAGCAATTTTAGATGGTTGTAAGCATTTTCATATATTTTGGGTGAATTTTAACCCATTTCATTCAGTTTTTAAATTTACACATTTGATTTATTTCATTCAAGTTTTTAATTTTAACCATTTTTGATTGGTATTAGCCATAATGTATGCAATTATAAAATTCCATTGAAAAATTACTATATGACCCATTTTTATTCATGTAATTTTTAGCGGCACAAATTGTTTAACAAAAATTCACGATTTAAGTTAAATTTAATTCACATTTTCTAAAAACAACTAGAGAAAAATATCGATTTAATTTTTCTGAAAGAGACTATTGATTTGATAATCTTATTGGGATTACAAATGAATTTCTATCATGTTCAATTTTTAATTTTTGTAAAAGAAAAAAACTCATTAATCATAATTAAGTAATGTATATACTAGATTCAAAACTATACATTGCATTTACATATAATACCCAATAAAAAGAAAAAAAAAAGTCATTTAAACTCCATTTCTGATGCTTATGTAAAATTTTTAAACAGGCATTCGAGTCACCCCATACACATGGTGATTGTTATTCCTTTTTAAGGCAATATGCCACAGACTCTTTCTCTCAAGCAGCATGCTTAGTTGCACCCAAAACTATCATTTCATATCCACAGGTATCATTCATCATATCCAATTAATTATAACATTCTACTTTCAAGAAATAGCAACTTTTGATGAAGTGTTGAATCGAGAAAAGTAAAGTAAATCAGAGTAATGAAAATATGAACACCGAATGTAAATAGGATCTGGTTTCAGCTCATATTATGCTTTCAATGTTACAGAGAGAAAAATAGACAAGTTCACTTCAAGTTCTTATCTAACTCTAAGTAACATCCCTATTTATAGGAGAACACAAAGCATACAAAAAACTACAAAGGACTAGTCATTAAGTTTCGACACAAACTGCCTTTATAAAATAACATTACATTTTTCGACATATTACAATCTAACTTCGACCTCTACAACTTTAGGAAAAAATGCAAGTAGGATGCTATAATAAAACTTTTTTTTTTTTTTTTTTTTTTTTTTTTTGTTGTACATAGGTGTGGAAAGGACAGGGACCAAGGAAATGGAAGCATGGACAAAGTGATGGATTTTTTGTGCAGTTTGAATCTCCTCTTCTTAGAAAAGAATGGTTCATTTCTAGTTCTTCAGAGAAGGGCCAAATATTATGCAAGTTAGTCTTCTTATTATCAACTATTCAAATCAAAATAAATGTATTACTCATCTAAAAAAAAAAATTCAGTTTGGATAATTGATGCTAAAATATATTTGAGAAAATGACCACAAACTAAGGTTGTGTTTTGCTTCACAAGCTACTGGTATCTGATAAAGTAACAACGTTTGGTAAAACTAGCTGATAAGATAGATGACAAATGTAAAATGACAGAAAAGGACATTTAGATATAACAAAAAGTCTATATAGTAATTTATTTCGTTATTACAGGGATCCAGTGGCATTAGATATCAGTGCCCATGAAGTGCTTCCCAGGATATTTAGAGATACCTGATCATTGGCTTGTTTGGAATGGATATGAAAGAGATGGATTTTTGAGGATATTGGAAAGATTTTTAAAAAGTTTTGTTCAGCTTCCATAATTATATAGTCAAGTTGCTCCTACGTTTTATGTTTTGTGTTTCTTTTTTTTTCCAAGATTTGTGAATCACTTTTGCACTTGTTTTAGGTTGGATGATCTCTTGTTGCATTTTTTTTTTTGTGTGTGAAAAATACAGGAAATTATACAATGTGCCAAGGTACATATGTAATTGTAGTGCTACAAGTAGAGAAGCATGACTTTGAAAGTCTTCAAACAAAATGTGTACCGTACAACTCTGGTGTTTGACTTGCTTTGTACTGTGAGTCTACCAAAAAAAAATTATAGTTGTCTTATCCAAAAAAGTAAAACAAACAAGAAATTACTAAATATTTAGGTTGTGTTTAGTTGCGAAAAAAATAAACCGTATTTTGAAAAAAAAAATTTAAGATAATATGAGGATTTTGGAAATGTGTTTAGTTCATTTATTTTTTTATATTTTTCATGGAAAATGAAAATTTTATGTTTTCTAAAATTAAAAAGAAGTTAGAAATTTTTGTAACACTAATAATCATTGTTTTCCATATTTTTTTAATTTTAAATTTTTTCTAAAATATAAAAACATCCACTTCTACTCACTCCCATTTTATTCTACCTACCTTCATCTTAACACTCTTGACCTACGGCACTCTTATCTATCTAACCTCACTCCCAAGCCCACACTCACATACACACACCAACCTCCACAAATATACACACACCAACCCCTCAAAAAAATTATTATTAGTAAATTTTATTATTTTTGCTTCTTTTACGTTCCACTTGACGATGACTAATGCTAAACAAATAAAGATATGCTAAAAAAATAAAATAATATTAAATAATTGAGACGAGAAACAAAACAAATCATTTATAAATATTATTAGGAGAGCTCTGAAGATACAATCTAGACCCTTGTTCGATCCACAAGGATCAAAATCAAATGAACACTTATTCTCTCTCTCAAATCATGATATAACCCTCAACAACTAATAGTCAAGCGAGACACAAATTTGTTAGTTGGTATTTTTCTAGTAAAAATAAAAAAGGAGATAGGATTCATGATTATTCAAAACTAAATCGAATGATATGTACGAATCACTGTAAACTCAGATATCTAACCATTCTCGACAGTAATTCTGATTTATTGGCAAAGAATAAAAAGAACAAAATTATGTTAAAAATCAATTATTTCATGTCAAAAGAAGATTCAATACATTTAATGACTCATACATATTTTCTATTACAGCAGTAGGTATTTTTTACTTTTAGACAAACTTGTAGACTTTGACTTATAACTAGCATTTTCTTTATATTAAATTTATTGATTTCTTTAACTATATAAATGTTTTGTTAATAAACTTCTGTTCTTTTTTATTTACTTATTTTTTTTTGTGGAGCACATATTTGTTTATTCATGAAAGTCCATATTAAAATTATTATATAATCTATAAAGAAGTTTTAAAATCATTATTGTCCATGGAACACTTATGTCTAATGTGACCTCCATCTATACTATATTTTTTTCTTGAAAACAGAGTTTGGTTTTACCAACTCCAATAGTTAAAACTCTCGTATATTGTTAAAATTATTATTTTTTAAACCAAAAACATATTTGAAGATAGAAATATGAATTTAGAATATTATTTGGACAAATAATTAATTTGTTCACAATTTAACACAAAAATAAATACAAAATTCACAATTTAAGAGAGTAAATTCAAAGTTTAATTTAATATAATCATACTTTAATCCACAAATTCACAATTTAATACATAAAATTCACAAATTAATACATAATTCACAAATTAATACAAAAAATTCACAACTTAATAAACATAATTAATAACATAATACATATTATTTACAAATTAATACACAAAATTCATAACTTAATAAACATAATTCACAACTTAATACATAAAATTCACAACTTAATAAACATAAAAACCTCATATACTACTAAAATTATTACTTTTTAAACCACAACCATCTTTGAAGATAAAAGTAAGAATTTAGAATATTATCTGGACAATTAATTTATTTATGCACAATCTAACACACAAATTACTACAACATTCACAATTTAAGAGAGTTAATTTACAATGTAATTCAATATATTCGCATTTCAATACACAAAATTCACAACTTAATAAACACAAATCACAACTTAATACATACTATTTACAAATTTATACAAAAAATCACAGCTTAATAAATACAATTCACAACTGAATACCTAAAATTTACAACTTAATAAACATAATTTTATAATTTAATACATATTATTTACAATATATTTTTTTCAATCACAACCAAATCTGAAATTCTTACCATGCTTCAAAATTATCATAAATGGATTAAAAAACAGAATTTACAATTCAATATACTAATTTATTTATAATTTACTGTTTAAAATATTAGTTCACACTTATTCATAACTTAAAATACTAGTTCATATATCCATTCATAACTTAATAGACTAACTCAAATACTCATTCATATCATTCACAACTTAAAACATATATTCTTTTCATTGAGACATTTCATCAAACACCACATGTGCATGTTTATTTCATAAATCCGAGAAATAAAGAGCAAAGAAAGGAGGCGGTGATGGTGGAACCACCATTAGTCACCAGTAGAAGGTGAGTTCTCATAAGAAAAATAACCAGATCTTACCACAAAACATTAGAAAGCAGTAAAACCACCACCAGTCACTAGGAGAAGGTGAGTTTTGTCATTTCTCATCAGATCTGGCCATAATAATACTTTTTTGGTGTTTTGGCGAGGCTAGAGGTCAGAGACGAAGCACACATCATAAATATGAAGGTGTGGAATGTCAAATCTGGTGTTTTCAGCTATGAAAATTGTGATTCATAATAAATCTGAAGGTGTAGAAGGTCGGATATGGCTTAGAGTCACCGGAAGTTTTAGATCTGAAGATGTAGAAGGTTAGATCTAGGGACATCGACGGAGGCGACAATCGTGTAACAAATCTAATGTGGAAGAGGTTGGTGGAAAGTTGTCGGAGGTTACTAGCAGTGGTTGTATTTCACAAAGATCTGAGAAAAATTAAACAAAAGGCGGTTGGCGTTGCTGGTGGTTTGATGTCGTGAGCGGTGACTGTTCACTACATCAGGGATGGAGGCAAGGCATCAGCGGTTTGAGGTCTCTGGAGACATATGTAGGTGTTATTGATGATGGTCGGAGCCTACGTCAATGCAAGAAAAGTGGTAACAGAGGGGCCATCGTTGATGATGAAGTCGTCGTGAATGGTGGTGGTATGGTGGTGTTCATCAAATGTGGTTGAAGGATGTGAATATATATATGTTTTTTTGGAGAATAATGAAAGAAACGATGTTAGATCTAAACTAATAGAATGCTTTTTCGTACTTATTAGTTTTTCAATTTATAAAAAAACAAACAATCAAAATATTATAAAAAAGAAATAAATAATGTAAAAATTAGTGGTTCTTAGGGTTCTTAACCTTTAGGAGTTTTTATATGAACTTATATATATATATATATATATATATATATATATATATATATATATATATATATATATGTATATATATAACGCCCCGATCTTCAGGTAATTGATTTACATAAGAACTTTCTTGATTTTAAGGTCTACTCGACGAGTTGGTAGCCCTACTCGTCGAGTAGCAGCGGGTTGGTCCGCGTGTTTAGTGATCTACTCGATGAGTCCAAGTAGGTACTCGATGAGTAGGAGCTGGCAGATGAAACCCTAAATCTCAGGGTTTTAGCATCCTATTTAAGGATCACATATTCCCCATTAACCTCTCTTACTACCTCTTTTGAATCCAGAAACCCTAATTCGTGTTTGCCCTCTTTTGTGTGTGTTCTTGACCTTGAAAGAAGATCCTTTGGAGTTAAGAGCTTGGGGTGTAAGAAGTTGGAGCTAGTGGCTGTTGTAGATCCAGATTCTTCTTTGGTTTGGCATCATTTTGAAGGCAACAAGTTGTTACCTTAATTCTCCTTTGATTAGAACCCCTCATGGTTGGGTTTGGAGGCCTTTTTAGGGTTTTGTGGTGATTCTCTATGTTGGGTCAAGATCTGAGGTTGCAACCTCAGATCTGGGTTCCTTTAGCCTCTATTTATCATAAAGTTCAGTATTTTCCAAGCTATAACCTATCCCATTGCATTAAGCCACTCCTTTTAGCTTGTTTTGGGTCATATCATCTTGCATGCACGTAAAGTTTGCAACTTTACGTGATAATCATGCCCTAGAAGCTTAGATCTGCAGTTTGGAGCCTTTGCATGACTTAAAAGCTTCTATATGGATGAGGTATTTAAGGTACTTGGCGAGTAGCATGGTCAACTTGGCGAGTCATTTGAAGATGGTCATGGACTCGACGAGTTGGATGAACAAATTGGAGAGTCTGATGAAGATTGCCTTACACTGATGATCAGAGAGCTGCTGTTACCTGGGAGCAGTTTAGAGATATGTTCTGAGCTCGTTACGTTCCTCAGGTCGAGAGGGAACGATTGGCTTAGGAGTTTTTGAGTTTGAGACAGGATGGGAAATCGGTGATGGAGATCACCCACATGTTTACTGAGAGGGAGATGTTCTGCCCAGAGTTTGATTCCGAGCAGGCTCAGATGACTCGTTATCTAAGCATGCTCAAGACCGATATCCGACAGTTTGTGTCTACCTAATGATGTGGTACTCTTCTGGAGTTACATGAGGCCACGAGGCGGCGTGAGTTGGAGATCAAGCTGTAGTTGAAGGAGCAGCGGCAGGACCCGATACAATTGCAGTCGGCGCCGAAGCAGTCCAAGACTGTCGATACCAGGTTTGGAGGACAGCCAGGCTGCACTTGTGGAAAGTGTGGAAAGGTTCATTCAGGGGTCTATCGATCAGGGAGTGGGTGCCACCGATGTGGCAAGCACGACCATTTGGCCAGGGATTTCAGACAACAGAAACCAACTTCTGGGGTCAGGCTTTGTTACCATTGTGAGCGGGTGGGCCATATGAAGGCCCACGTCCATTATTAGCCTCCAAGTCGGTGCAGACTCTGACGCCGACTACTTTAAGGATTACAGATAGGAGGCCAGTGAAGGTGGAGCCTTCGAAAGTTTAGGGACGTGCATTTCAGCTTACGGTTGTGGAGGCCAAGGTAGCACCTGATGTGGTTGATGGTATGTTTCTATCCTTTTCCTTATTTATCACGCCTGTATTATGCTTATTTGTTGTACCTGTGTTAGGTACGTTCTTTGTGAATTCATTGCCCGCTTTGGTTCTTTTTGACTCGGGAGCGAGTCAGTCTTTCGTATCCCAGGCTTTTAGTAG